AGTGCGCCGAGACGACAACCATTCGTGCCATGAATTTTGGTACGACTAATATTGGAGATGGAGAACTACCCTCTATAAAACCGTCCCAGATACTGGCTTTTGTCAAAGCCCTGGGACTGTATGATGAGTTATGATTCAAGAAAGGGGGACACAATGGATCTGTAAGGTCGAAGTGATTAACCCCCCTCCCACTCATTCTAAATTCTAAAAATTCTAACATATTTTAAACATTAATAACTATAAAACGTACCAACTTATCGTGTTGTTACAAAAACATACTTACCTAAATAGTATTCATAATCGTAAATTGTTTTTAAACATTGTGTAACGATAATAACAGATAGTACATGGAATATTTAAGTAAATATTTTATTTTTCAAAACAATTTGAATCAATCAATTAGAACAAACCAAAAAAAAAAATTGAACCGGAGTGTTTTATCGTTGTATAATTTACTTTTTACGCTCATTTTGCAAATAACTTAAAAACGGCTTGGTGGAAGAGCTTCAGAGTTGAGAGATTATAGTCGATAGGGTAGCCAAAATTAAAATTTACATAGGATTTCCTATATAAAACACAAATACCGTACTAGAAATAGAGATATGTATATCTGCTGCAACTCTGCCTTTCGCTATAGACTGTAGACCATCCCCTGTCCGAAAAACCGTTATTTTCACCCCCTACACAGAGTTCGTTGACGTAGGCCCGAAGCGCACCCCCGAATTTTATTTATTTTCCTTTTCGCCCCCTCCGACGCTTGTCGCACATCTGTCCCACGTGAGAGACAGCGTCCCCCACACTAGGTCGTTCACACGCTTTCCGTCTCTGTTTGGCACGTGCAGGTAGAGCGGTAACTCGCGTACAGAGCCCTTTAAATAGGGTATGGCAAAATGGCACACAGCTGTTCGAAAAGTCTGAATATGAAGATTTTGCGTGACGTGAATCAGCGGATTTTCGATGCATTTGCGTCCAGAGCAATCAATAATACCATTATATCAACCCTTTTTATCGAATATTTTGGTTACTTTTGGAGAAATAACAAAAACCTCAAATGAAGGGAATAAATTAGTGGTTTCAATTAGCGTGGAAGTTTGTTCTCTAATTTCAATGTAAGCAGAACGTTAAAATTAGTGGTAGTCATTTTTAGTGATGTTAATATTTCAGAAATTTTTGATTGTAGTAGGAAATTTCTGAAACTTTCGGAAATTTATGAAATATTAAGAAATTTTACAATTTTACATATTTTTTGTCGATACAATAAAAAAATAAATTAGATAGACATTTGACAATAAACATAATATTAGTTGTTATACTTTCACTCTCAATCAGAGTCCCATTGGCTGTGTCCGATTTGTCGAAGTATTTTCACTCTATTGGATTATCTCTCAATATATTCAAGACACAGTGTATGCTATTTAGCAATCGATACTCAATTCCCTTTATCCTCCAGCACGAGCAACAGGAAATATGTTCAGTAAATAGCGTTTCATTTCTTGGTTTAACGATCGATAGACGTTTGGATTGGCTTCACCATATTGAAGTACTGGCATCTAAAACTTCTCAGTTCTGCTATGCGCTGAGAGTAATATCGGGGTCCGTGGGGATCGATGCTGCTATGTCAGCTTACTATGCTTTTATCTATTCCAGATTTAAGTATGGTATTATTATGTATTATTTAAGTATGGTAGTATTTTTAGAGCAACTCCGCGGGGGTGGAAGGAATATTACGAATACAGAAAAAATGCTTACGTAGTATCTTCAGATTGAGTCAGCAAGAAAGCTGCAGGGAGATTTTTGTTGAACATAACGTTCTTACAGTTGTTTCCATGTATATTTTGGAGGCTGTGGTGTTTGTCCTGGAAAACTGGAATTTATTTGGACACCGTAGGCTCGAACATGAATGTGATACTAGACACAGATTACAGCTGGTTTCGGATAAATATAATTTCAGCTATCTTCAAAAAAATATAGATTACTCTCTAATAAAAATATTCAATTCCCTTCCGGAAAATTTTGCCTTGTCTATGCCTAAAAACAAAGTTAAAAAATGCTTAAACATATTTTTGTGCAGAGGAGCTTTTTATTCCCTCGCGGAATTTCTAAACAGTGATAAGAGCGCCCTGTGTCATATTTAACATCGATTGTATATTGTTGTAAAAACAACCACACCCCTATGTTTTTACTTTTGTTTTGTATCATTTGATCTAAATTTGTTATTTATTGTAAGTATAATTTTGTGTTTTTTGTTATCTGTCTATACATACATAGATTTAATTCATTATTAGTATTATTTTCATAAAATATTTAATTTTAATATTACTATTTATTTTTGTTCATATAGTTCATTTTTGTTGAAATATGCAATTATTTTCTTTTAAAATTTTTTACCGACATTGTTTGCATACCCTTTTTTTTGGGTTTCTTTTTGTATTATACAATAAGGAAATAAATAAAGCATTATCTATCTATTTTTAATAAACAATACATAACCCATAAAAGTCATAAACATAACCCATAACAAAAATCATTTGGTAACATTTGTATTTTGTGCATAAACCACGAACTATGACTATGAATTAAAAAAAAAACAAAAAAGCACGAAATATAAATTTAAAAAACATAAAACACAAATAACTGAATTATTCTATTCCGGAATATCAGGCGCCGAGCTGGTCCCATCTTCATAGGGTATTATAGTAGTAGTAGTACTGTCTTCATCAGTTTCTATTTCCAAATCAGATATATTTAATGTATCATCTGGTTCTGATTCTGAAGGATGGACCTCTACCTCCACGAGTTCTAGTGGTTCTGGAGGAATTTCATGTTGAATATCATGCTCCATATCCACTTTTTGTTTTTGTAGTAATAATTTATTGTTATGAGCTACGTACATTATTTTAACGGCTCTTTAAGCAGTTCAGCGATTCCTTTTTTTAGTATGGATAAAACTGTAAGTACTGAAACTTCTCTCTGTGGCTGCAGATGACGTTGGTAAAGACAGCAGAGCAACAGCTAAATATTTCAACTGAGTATTTTTACACATTGCATGCCACCAACTTAGACAGTCTACATTTTTAACTGACATCCAAACGTAGTCGAGAGCTCATAAACCCAATTTGGCGCAATAATTTGTTACATCTGTAAAAATGGCTTATTATTGACAAACTGAGGATGATTGTTGGTGATATTGTTGATAAATTCCATGTGTTCTTCATTGTTAAGGTGCTCTCCCAGGAAACAGGGGTCCAAGAGATTCGCGGCAAAATGCATTGGTTCAAGAGCCATAGGTTTTTTATTTCGTAAGGCGGAGAAGCATTCTTTTTCTTCTGACTTAAGAATCGGCATACTTGATACACTTTCGTTAAATTTTGGCTCAATGTCTTGAATTTTGAAAAGAAATTTCTTGCAAAATTCGGATTTTTGTGAATATTCGCGATTTTGGGACCGAATATTTCGGAAATTTCTGAAATTTCCTGCAAAATTCGAATGGAAATATTCGCTACCAACATCACTAATGGATACAACCAAGGATACAACTGGCTACCTAGGAACCTGGTGCTAGGATATTCTATTAATTTTAACTGTAATTTTTAAACATTGTAAATGATCGTAAATTCTAAAGTATAAAGTTCGGTATAAAGTATAATTGAAACCACTAATTATGAGGTTCTGAATGAAGCTTTAAAGTTAGTTTAAAAAACAACAACAATGAACTGTTTTTGGTTTTTGGACAAAGTTCCACTTTATTGGAATGGTTACAGATGTAAAGTAAAATCTTTACATTTTAAGTAAATACAACATACAACCCCCATATCATTGTTCTGGTAAATTTACATAAAATTGGAACAAAATGCAGTATGACGGGATTCTGAAAATATTTTGTTCAAAAAATATGTAAAAAGATAATCTAGGTAGGTAGGACCTATATATTCTTAAAAATTCATCCTCTGACCTTATCAACCGTATTTTCAAATATTTTATAAAACAAAAATTTGGAAAGGAAAATTTGGAAATGTACAAACGGAATTAACCATATTAGAACAAGCAGACAATAAAGAATGCATTTTTTTCTTAAACAGTACCAAAATAAAAAAGTTTTCTCTCTCCCTCTTGTAAAGACAATCCGGGGACATACTGTATAGGATAGTTCATATCAAATAAACTTTTAGTCACGTGATTAAGCTTGACCGACACAATGTTGCCCACTTTTACATATTTTCTTTTAATCAAAATATTTTAAGAAACAAAAACAAATTAATTATAAATATATAAACAGTTATTTACAGCATTGCGATGAGTTTTTTGCAACGGCTAATAAGCTATTTTGTGCAATTCGCACTAAAAGAGGTTCTAAAAAGAACAATGTTCGACTGCAAGGTCTGCTAATAGTGGCAAAACGAATGACAAATGTCAGGAAATAAATAAATAATTGTGGCAGCTTCACATTTTTTACAGTAAAACTACCACCTGAATCCCCTGCGTTAAATCCCAGTTAGTCAGCCCGGCACCGAATATGTCCATGGTTGACAACAATGTATTTAAAAATCGCGCCCTCGATTACGTAACTAAAGGTTTAATTGGTATCGTCTATAGGTACAATTATTTTGAAATTAAAATATTTCAAGTTAACTTTAATACAAAACAAACAAAAATATGTTTTACAAAATTTTCGAAATTCATGTAAAAGATAGACGAAATTTGGAATTGGGAACAGATAAATATTTACTGGAAACCCAAGGCTAACATCCTTAATAGCTGAATTATTGCCAAAAAATTGCAAAACGTGAATGCATACCTAGGTACATAATTTAATTTTAGACCCGCATCCCCGTTGCTATACAACCTCGAACTGAATGAAATCCACTGAGAAATTCCAGATATTTTCGTTAAAATGGTGATTTTAAACTTGAGGTAAGTAGAATTATATTCTAGGTATTTTAGATCATAAATTTGCTGATCAATATTGCTAATTAAAAAACAACAAAATATTCGTTTCTTACCTGTTATTCTGCTTTGTTGTGCATTCCTCACACTGCTTGGAGAAGATCCAAACCTCACAGGTCTTGGTTTGATCACCTCGAACTCAGGTATGTGACAGTACTGATCAGAATTATCCAAATCCGAACCGTTCCTCCTCTTGATCGGTCTGATCTGCTTTTTGGGCGTTACAGGCCTCCAATCGTACAAACCATTCGGATCCAAATTCCTCTCCTGTTTAAAATCAAAGTTCCACAACTCTGACTTGATTACGATCATTTTTTTCATCTCCTCGTCAATGAATTTTTTTGTCGCTTGAGGGTCGACCGGTCCAAACAATCTCCTGCTCACTTTTTGTTCTTTGGGCAGGATAAATCTCTTTATTTCCTGATTATTGCTCGTGAGCAAGGGTCTTGCCGAACTGTAAACACTCGTACTCATGATAAATGCGATTCAGGCAACCAACAATACAATCGAGCCACGCGCCAAGTCCTCTGGCTTTTTACACTACTGGGAAAAAATCACTATTTTTCGCGATGGCAACACTATGTTCGGCGTTCCGAAGGGTTTCTATAAACACTAAACTATCCATATACGGTGTGTGTATGCGGGAAATTGAGAAAAACCGTGATTGTGCGCTGGAAAACGAACTGAAAGTCGAAGAACGCCACGATACGTGTTACCTAAGCAACGCTTATGACGCGACTAGAAAAGTAAAAACAAGCGTCAGCAAAGCCGAGGACGCTCACACGGTTGTCAGATTTATTCGATGTAAAATACGGATATGCCCGTATTTATGATACTAGGTGTGTTATGCATTTTTCTAGTAAATTATATTAGAAAGTGAGAGTTATTGAGTATATATATAGGTCAGTATAACGGAAAATAGGTATTAAAGTAGGAAACAGATTATATAAATACTAATTTCTCACTTTTGTAGGTTTAGCAATGGTGTTAATGGTGATAAATAATATTAATTACTGTGCTTAATAGCCGTAAAAAACTCACTCCACTTTATTAGAATATTTTGAACTTTCTTAGAAGCATTTTTTATGTCCTTTAAGTGTTGTTAAGGAGTTGTGCTTTGTTGATGTACATATGTAAATAATAACTGTTTATATATTTATAATTAATTTATTTTTGCTTCCTAAATATTTTGATTAAAAGAAATATATAAAAGTGGGCAACGCTGTGCCTGTCAAGCTTAATCACGTGACTCAGAGTTTATTTGATATGAACTATATATACAGTATGTCCCAGGATTGTCTTGACAAGAGGAAAAACTTTTTATTATTGACATTTCGAGAAAGATGCACTCTTCATAAAAAAATTTGCTTGTTCTAAAATGGTTAATCCCGTTTATACTTTTCCAAATTTTCAGAGGGTTTTAGAAAAACCTAAGAAAAACTTGAAAATATGGTTTTCTATGGTAATATAATTTCTTTTTAATTCTTTGATAGATTGTTATTGATAAAATTTTAATTAACCTCGTATTCTTTCCTGTTTTACAACGTTAAATAAGCATAAATTTTATGTAGTTAAATACTAAGGCAAAGGTAATAATATAGTTATCGGAAAATGTAACACTTTAACAACAGCAATTTTAATGTTCTAGTTCGAAAATATTCCGTATTTTTTAACAAGCAACTTACAAATTAACAATACTGTATAATGTTTTCTATAAATCAATAAAAATATAAATCAAACAAAATTTACCTAATTTCTCACACTTTCCCGCGATCGCGGCAACGCGGCACGCTTGTTTATTGTGAAGACGCGGAGAGCGGGAAGCGTTTGGACGGGTCCATAATAGATAGCGCAGGGGAGGCCGCGCCAAATTAGAAATTCAAAACTTTGGCGTCAGAATTTTCATTTTTCCCCATTTCTTCGCGCTTTTCAAGGTCCCCAACCTCCGAATTCGGTACATGACACTTTGATACGTCTTTTATGAGTTATTTTGATGAAAAATATAATAAATTAGTCGGAAAAAAGACGCAGAAAAACATGCTTGTCTTGTATATGGGACTTTAGCGTTCTTTTACCACTGAAGCAGTAACCATAGATACGGATTTAAGGGTGGGTATTTTGTAAATTTGAATTTAAGAAGCCTGTAAATGATTCTTCTTTGCTTTAAAGTTCATATAATTGAATAATATTGATGAATATTGATAGAAAAATCATTGTTATGGCAGCTGGCTCGTTGTAGTTGTAATTGAACACTCACAATTCGTGGAATTTCATAAATAAATTATTGTACCGCATTTGTAGCGTCATAGTGTCTACTAAATATTTTTAACAAAGCGTTTTTTTTTAATAATACTTTCCTGGACGCTTTATTGGAACAATTATAATCATTTAGCAAATAAACTTTGAACTAATTAAGCACTGGTATAGATGATAGCGTACTTGTTGCTACAATCCTTTATTGTTTTTGTTCAGTTGTAAATTAATCTTATCTTTTCTGATTGTGACTGTGAGTGTACGTAGTTAATAAGGTTTTCGAGAAAAATAATAACCCTGATGTATATAGTTATCGATAATAACAGAGTTTGTATTTTCGTCTGATTGCAAAAATTAATTAGAAATAATATATTAAATATTATTTTTTGTTTTTCCATGTTTTTTTATAGACGTTAAACATTATTTTTTGGTTCTCAAAATAATAATAATAATAAAAAACTTTTATAAAAAATATTATGGTTTCTGGTATTAAAAATATAAATAAAAAACTGAAGGGTTGTACAATAAGTACAATAAGATGTCTATTTTAGTTTATTGCGAAGCTAAAGAGTTCCAGATTTAGATTTTTATGTACAGGGTGGATCAAATTCGTCGCTTTTAAATGGAAACAACCTTTTCTATAGGAGATAGATAAAAACTAATATCGGTGTCTGGAGCTCAATTTTACCGCATATCGATATCTGTTACCGTTTCGGAGTTACGGGGTGTTTTTCAAAAATATGCATTTTTAACAAATCGCTGTAACTTTTTTGCTATGGAAAATTTTGTATTTTTATGCAAACATTTCCAAAGCACCTTTTTACGTAGAATTTAATGGTTTAAGTATAATTTTTTTAAAATTAATAATTTAAGAATTATCAACAGAAAATTTGATTTTTTATATGGGACACCTTGTATATATTTTTAATTAGCTGAAAAAGAATTTAAAAAATTACCTTTCAAAAATATAGCACTTTGATATTTTGTTATAATCCCCTTCGAAATACAGATTTTTTTAAAGTTCGCCCACTTTTTAACTAGTAGGCTTTGGACCCCTCATTGATGATATGCCCTTAATGGAACTCGAAAACATATTTTTCCAGCAAGACGATGCACCGCCTCTGAACGCTGAAGTTATCAGCAAATTTTTGCAGCCAATTTCAAGAATAATTGAATAGCCAACCAAGATCCCAGCCGTTGGCCGTCGAGGCCGCCTGACTTATAGTGCCCATGGATCTATTCCTATGGATATATTTGAGGAAGAATAAAGGTTCCTTATTCTTCCGTATAATCTAGACAAGAATTAGAAATACTTAGCAGTTATGAGAGGGTATCTTTCACCCCCCACTGAGTTAATGAATTCCGCAAAAAATGTTCAAAAACTGCCCCGTCTGTCCATAACAGAAGACGGTCGATATGTCGAACACCTGTAGCAAAATCTCATGTCCGGGTTTGCTATTTATTTTTATTGTTATGAGATATAGTTTAAATGTGTTGATGTTGGTTAAATATATTTTAAATTGTTATAAAATTCTGTATCTCTCATAGCAAATATTATTTTCGTTTTAGTTGATGCTCACAGCTAGAATTTTTTTGCATTACAGCCGGTGCCGTTCAAAGCCTACTTATTTAAAGCGGGCGAATTTTTATATACTCTATATCTCGAAGAGGAATCGAGCAAAATATCAAGAGTGTTATATTTTTGGAAAGGTAATTTTAAGTCCTTTTCAATAAAATAAAAATATACAGGGTGTCCCATATAAAAAATCAAATTTTCTGTTGATAATTCTTAAATTATTGATTTTAAAATAATTATACTTAAACCATTAAATTGTACGTAAAAAAGTGTTTTGGAAATGTTTTCATACAAAATTTTCCATAGCAAAAAAGTTACAGCGATTTGTTAAAAATGCATATTGCAGAAAAACACCCCTGGCACTCAGAAACGGTAACAGATCTATATGCGGTTTTCACCATCATGTTTTTGACAAAAATTGAGCTCCAGACACCGATATTAGTTTTTGTCTATCTCCTATAGAAAAGGGTGTTTCCATTTAAAAGCGTCGAATTTGACCCACCCTGTACAGAGGAGGGTGCTAAATTCGAAGATTACAAATGGGATCTTGGAAACTATATAGGTAAATGAATTATGTTCTGATTCTGACACTTAAGCTTATAATTTTTTAGTAGCAGATCTTGCAGTCGAACATTGTTCTTTTTAGAACCTCGTTTAGTGCGAATTGTATACAAGATAGCTTAATAGCCGTTGAATAATTTACAGGGTATCCCAGAAATAAGGGCAAGTATCTTAAGGGGTGGTAGATCTTGATAAAAAAAACATAGTTTTTCTTTGTCGTTTTTCAAATAAGTCCAAAATAACAGAGTTATTTTACTTTGAAAATTCCAAAAAAAAATGATTTTTTGCTAAAATTTTCAGAACCACTTGAACTTTTCTGGATTTCTTTCTTATAAATTTAATCTCATACTTATGTTGCCGTATTATCAAGAAATTATGTTTTTTTACTAACTTTAAAACTAAAAAAAAAATTTCAAAACATCTTTTTCTAGAAAAAACCTGATAGGCGTGTTTCTGGGGTTGAACATTTGAACAGATTTCTTTTTTAAAAGGATAAAGAAATGTAAAAAAATTGACGTCAATGAATTGACGTAATTTGCTAATGAAAAATCACACCTTACGTTATATTCTTTTCTCTATCTGTATGGATAAAGAAAATAATTGTTAAATCAAAAATTAAGTGCAATATTTCGTAGAAAAAAACATGAATAACATTTAACCTTCAGATTAACCTTGCATTTTTTACCAGACTGAGAAATTTGCATTCTCTTTGTTAATTACACATACTAATTCAAAACAAGACCAATCTCGCATCGTAAACAGTTTTTATGAGTCAAAAGGTGATTAGTGTGATGTGCAATCTAGAAAGGTTCGTGACAACAATAACAAAATTCTATAATATACAGGCCCGGCAATGGATCTCTAGGCATAGGAATTACATGCATTGGAATGAAACGCCTATAAAAAGTCTATGCTTAAACAGAGATGGACAACAACTTCCCCGTTTCCACTTCCACTACGACTGTCTACTTAGACAAACTCCAATAAGATAACAAATTTTGGAAATTCCGCCACCTCCCATCCACTCATGATGCCCATCTCCTGCCCTTTATTTATCCTTCATTATTTTATTTCCCTTCCCGCGCCTCCGCACCTCGCTATTCCGACTCCCGTCAGTTCATCACAGAGTTGCCCGGTCTACCGGTTTCGTCTGTAAGCTACCGATCTACCGATTTAAAAGAAAAAATCCAACGATATATTCAACTGCGTCTTTAGTTTTTACAATAGAAGCACTTTTAAAAAGCTGACTTATTTGACTAAAAATTAAGCGACTGCCGCGTTGGAATCTGTATAATCTGACTTTATTATTGTTTCATTAAATTTTATTTAGTAATAACACACACATACAGGTCATCGTTCTGTC